CAAACCTATTGCTGCTACTATATGCCAAATAACACGTATCTCTACGTATCTGATTGATGATTAGCCTTAATCGAAAGTTCTCTCTCGTGATCGGGAGGGGTAATTAACTATAGGGGCTTGCGCCTATAGGAAACCAGGACTCAGATCATAAAGTCCTCATAAAATGAGGGCGAAATCTCTGGGTAGTGTCTTATCTACAAACCCATCTGCCTTCCAAAATTTACCTCGGAACTTAGTTCGTTAAAACTCCCTCGCCGAATAAGAAAAAGAGCGAGCGGAGGCCGAGGGCGAATTTTCGGAGCCCACAGAGGGCGAAATCTCTGGGTAGTGTCTTATCTACAAACCAATCTGCCTTCCAAAATTTACCCCGGAACATATCCGTTAAAACTCTCTCGCCAAATAAAAAGAAGAAATCGCGGCGGGGAGACCGGGGCCGAATTTTCGGAGCCCACAGATACCATTGTCTAAGAATGAATTTGAAAATCATTAAATTTAATGTTGAGATTAGCGATGTATATGAAGAGTTTATATTGTATTATTCTCAAAGCAAATCCTATAATTTGAAATCCATCAGGATATAATTGATATTAAGAGGATATTCTGATATAATTTTTTCTATGAAAATATACCATAAGGATTTACATACATACCACTTTATTTCATGCTAGAGGAACCTCAACCAACAAGAAACTTCCCACTTGACTTTTGATGTCCCGTTTATTATTACAAGTCTAATACCCATATACAACTTTAATATCAAATATATCACTCCTATATTTCATTCCTACCACTCATACCATACTATAAACTTTAATATTTCATTTCATGTATCCATATTTATTCTATGGGTGATAGGCATGTAATATTAATATTCTGGGTGTCAGATATATAAATAGTATGAAATAAAGTGGTATGTATGTAAATCACCCATTCACAGTGAAATTTTTGCATTACTACAAAATCATTTATTGTTAACCTTCTATTTCTACTCGTCTCCTGCCATGAAATCAGGATGCTGCCAGGATCATCAAACAAGCGATTGAAGCAAGATTTACCACAACCAATAGCTAGAATTCCATCCTGAAACATACAAACCCAAAAATGAAAGTTCAATATCTGGACACTCCACTGTAAGCGCCATTCTTCAAAACAAAGTATACAATGCAATGTATCGACCTCGAGTTGGTCCTATATGATCTTTCTAGAGCAGACGTTGAGAGGCATTACAGCACAGGACCAACATAATCTTGCGATTTTGTTGCGATTCTCTTCCAGTTGGGATACAAATGGGGCAGCTGGCCTTACTAATCTAGAAATTTGAATTCATTTGATCTGCTCTTTGGTGCAATTGTGGGGTTGAGGATGGTAGAGAAATGGTGAAGCTATCAGGCTGGGCAACAGGTCAGGCATTTCCCTTCCCTTCCAGCTCTGCAAGTGTCTGGTCAAGTGAAGCAGGCAAATGCAGATATGCTGCCATTATCATCCTATGAAATTTCTGTTCATTACTTTGCCTGGAAATAGTTTTTCACGATGTAAAGGAGAATCACTAGGGTTGATTTTTCTTTTTTTCTTTTTTTTTTTAGTTTTTACCCCTTTTTTTTTTTTTTAAGAGGCTTCCCAAATAATTGGAAGCATAGAATTTGGCTATGAGATGCGTTCGTTCATAGCACTAGTGCTTTTTGAGATTTTGACTTCATAGCTTTCTGTATCATTTTTTCTGCTCTGCAATCTAATTCCAACAAATTTGTTCACTTTGAATGGTTGAGATTGATTCTGCCGGCTTTTTTATTTTTATTTTTTTGACCTTTGATATCACTCTGATTAATATTTCTGTTAGTGTGTTATTTATTGGGTCAATAATTGATATATGCAATTTTTTAAAATATAGAGAAGATCACCCTTCTCATTGTTTCTGTTTCCATGCTGGTTTACAGCTTTTATGATGCTCCACATGGTTCAAAGAAAGCTACAAAGTGTCTGTTTGCATTACAAAGGAAACTATATTCTTGTTTGAGCACTAACATTCATCTTAATTTAAATCGCACTTAAATGAGATTTTTTTTTAATATACACAGTTTGCGGGGTTTGATTGTGCATTTGATTCAATTTAGTTTGCTCACAATTTATGTAAGATATTTAGTTGTTTTTATATTTATTGTAAGGATAAATTTTTATAATCTCAAATCGAGGGCGAATTATTACGTCTGGTCACCGGATGCCCGGACACTCAATCCAGACACGCCATGCCACCCGATGTATTTTGGTGGTGGCGTTTGGATTGCTGTCAGAACGAATCCGGACACCGGACGTAATAATTTGCCCAAATCAAGACTAGTAGAACTATTATAATCTCCAGCTTTTCAAGTAAAACAGCTTTTCCAGCTATACAACTTCTGTTTTTACATGCAAATATAAAAATTACATGCAAATTAAGATATAACCCTCAATTTCTATCATCATAAATCTTATAGCATACAAGAATAAATCAACTACAAAATCTGCACATCCAGGAATTTTATTGCCTGTGAAAAAGGAATGGAGAATAGGCGATCAAGAGTAATAGATCACTACAATCCTTACAAATATAGGGCTATAAACCTGCTGAAGCATGCCATTTCCTTGCCTCAGCAAGTCTGAACTGAAGTTATCAATTCTACAGAAGGCTATTATATATATACACGATTTACTTCTTTTCCTCGTATATTCTTCTCCATTAAAATAATATCTCAATGTTCATGAATATATATATATATGAAAATGATCAATTCTAATACAAATTTCTATACACCATATCTCTATATTCCCCTCCGGGTAAAACCCAGCACATGAACAAAATAAGCACAGCCTTGCTAAAGCCCCAACCTAAACAAAAAACCCTTAAAGGCTGCATGAATTTCCTTTTTTTTTCTCCTCAAATGAAAATGTATAAGAAACAAAAAAACAAACAGGATATCCCAAATCGAAAATCCCTAAAGATCTGAGACCCCAATCTTCAAAATAAATAAATTGCCGTAGCAAATAGATAGCCCCAACCCCCCTTTCACCATGCACATTCACTATACACTGAAGATCTGAATCCTGAAAATTCACAATGAAAGCTATTTGGCTACTGCAATAGTTCTCATATTTCCGAATTGGGTACTTGAGCGACCAAATAAGCTTGTGTGGTGTTGGTGACTCACTACAGACAGTCTGACGTCGAAAGTCTACTTCCTCGTCTGAGCTACTATCATGTTGCTCTTTGGTCAAGTGCGAGCAGGAAAGCCGAAGTTTTGGTATACTCTGACGTCTCCTCCTCGGCTAGCAGTCACAATCACCATTCCCCAAGCTAACTTGCTAGTTTGCATCATCGAGTCGCCCGTGGAAAGTTCGCTGCTACTATGGCGACTGTGTTTGCCAGAGGATGAATGAAGCTTCTCCTCAGGCCAAGTAGCTGATAATACCTTGTCAGGATATGTTAGGGAGAGGGGACTATTTCGGCCACTAGTTTCTTCCAGAAAATCTAAGTTATTATTTGGTTTTGATTGGCAATTGGGGCCGTTGCTTCCATTGGGCACAGAAATAGCTACTGATCTAGAGCTAGTGTTTGACCAGGGAACTGCAACTGTGACATCCTGGGAGTTAAAATACTCGTAGGATTGTGTGATAGAGATGGCACTTTTGCTTTTGCTTGGACGGGTATCAGTGTCCTTTCTCCATACATACACGTAAGAGTCCTCACTAGCACATATAACATACTTGCCATTTTCTGTCAAGCAGGCTGAAATTTGACTGCTAGTGTTTCGAAACCCTGGAAAAATTTGAGATCGGATCAAGCAATACGTATACTTATATTATGATGCTAATATTATAACTTATTATGTACAAAATATGGTATAAATATACAATTATAACAAATATCATTGTACATAATAACACCATATCTCATAACATAACATAATAACACCATATTATCTATTTAAAACTATACTTACATATTTATATATGATATGTTATGTATATACTTAAAAAAAAACTTAGCTTGACTAGGGAACATATTGAATGACTTTGAGCTGATGTTGAGCTAGGGTCAAATTGGCTCGAAAACGAATCATTAATAACACTAATTTTAGCCTCACAATGCATGCATAAGCTCACAAAAGTTGAAGAAAAAAAGGAACAAATTATGAAGATATTGGTGTCAGTCAACAGAATCTCAGTCTAATGGGCACCAATAGAAATAATTAAAGTAATGTTATTAGTTGGCAATCAAAATCCACAAATTGAGAGCAGAGAAGACGTCACATGAATCAATTTAAGCTTTTAAATTAAATAAAAAAGGATATTTTAAAAGATTAAATTAATTAATTCACCTGCAATAAAAAAGACTGTTTAAAAGCTTTAGTTAGTTAGAGATGTTTAGCTCATATTGCAATGGCTTAGAAAAATTATTTAGGTGCCGAAAATATGTGGGCCAATTATTTAGGTGCGGATGCCGGACAGAGAGAATCATCCGGATTTATCTCTGCCTACAGTAAAAGCGCATCAACTACAGTAACTGTGCTTTGACTGCACTTTTACTGTAGACAGAAAGAAATCCAGATGATTCTCTATCCGGTGTCCGAACTTAATAATTTCTCAAATATGTTATACTACTTTAAGGCATGCATGCATAGGCAACTGTACCCAATGATATATACTAACTTGATAGGCTCATAGATAAATAGATAGGAAGATGACATGCGTTGAAAATAATCATAAATAGGGAAGAAAAAAAATACCTTTAAATTTGTGAATGAGATTGATCCCATCAACGACCCTAATCCGTGAATCAGCAGATGTGATTAGAACTTCTGATGAGCTGTCTGGGACAAACTGTTTCATGATACAAATCAGATAATTGTCGACTACAAAAGTCTATAAAAATTTGAACAAATGAACAAACAGTATAGTTCAAAGAATTCTCATCAAAAAATACAAATCCTATGCAGAAAAAATACAGACTACACATCAGAAAATACAAATCCTATGCAGGGATCTTGAAAAAAATACAGACTACCTGAGTTGCATTGATATTTAACTTTCGAGTAACTTATAGTGAGGATTATCACGAATCCTTTCGCATTACATTTATAGAACACTCCAAAGAGATAACCGTTTCTCTAAATTCATATATAAATGCCTAAATTGGAGTTTCAATGGGAATTTTATAATTGAATCGAAGAATAAATCTTGTATTCAACAACAATATTTTATATAGTCCAACATAACTGCAATAAGTAGATAACTTATCGGAAAATCCATAGGAGTCCTGCATCCATGAGTGGATAACTTATGGGAACAAATGGAAGACAACCTACTGGATATGATGGTTGAATCACTGATATTTTTTAAAGTTGACCCTAAAAGGGGTGCCATCAAATTTAAATGCATGTGGGGAAGAAGTGGAAGACAATCATAATCAATGGTTGTCATTCGACTTAACACTCTACTAAGTAAATTATTGAGTAATATATCAATTCTATTTTTTAAAAAAATAGCAATATATCAATTTCATGTTTCAATAATAAAGACAGACTAGTTTTAGGTTGGTTGATTTGGTCTGTTTTCCTAGGTGGGGTCCTCATAAACCTTTAGGACTTGTGGGCCAACCTGTAATCCTTTTTTGGCGTGGGAAAGCTAGGAGCAACTTGCTCCTTACCAACCCCTTCGTGGGGGTGAGAAGAAAGTAGTGCCAAAAATATTAGTAAAATTGAGATTTGAACAAATCTTTGCCTCTAATAGCAAGCGCATTGTAAAAGCACTTGTGTAAAAAACACCGAACAAAAATATAAAGCCCTCCAATGGTTGAATTCCTCAATTAGTCGTTTATTCACTTTTTAATGTCTCTTGAAAAATCATCCCAATAAAATTTTAGAGCAAGGCTAGCCAATTTAGAGCATGTATGCTCGTTATAGCTATCATTTACATGTTGTCCTGTTATTAGTATTTTATTTGTTCACTATTTTGATGGCAAACTAATCTATAGCAGAATTAAAGAAAACCAAATTACTTCTCAATGTCCTGCACCGCTATAGACATTAATTTGAAGAAGAGCATTTTATGACTTTTAATGGTTTTAATAGTTCTTTAATGTGGAGTGTTAAAATGTCGCAAAAAGAAGGATAAATTTAATTAGAATAGCCTTAACATAGGAATATTAAAGTAAACAATAACAAAAACAAGACAGGTCTAATTCTCCTTACAAAACATGCCTCTTCACTTACAAATTAAAGTGCTGAAAAAAAATCCCTCCTTACTTATTTGTAAGGCAATTTTAGGAAGTCTAACACAATGATGCTGATATCATGGAGATTCGAAGCTTTTCAAAATTAGGTTAAAGAACAAGAAAAATCACTTGTCTTGATAAAGATGTCAATACACCGAGGACTTCACAAATTCATCTTGGTTGTATGAAGACAATTAGGCATCAATATTAGCACCAAGGATGGACTTCGCTACATCTAAGAAGATGCTAACGAATCAACAATGGTCTTCATCATGCAAGATAACACAAAATTAACAATAGCTCTCACTTAAGGGATGATGCTTACATACTTTGGCTGACATCATAAGAGGTGATATGTTGTCAGTTTTGACTTCTGCCATAAGGAGAGACACATAGTATCGTTTCCACCTTAAGGGGTGACATGTAGTATGTTTTGGCTTCCACACTAAGGGTTGATATAAATTCATATCAGTTTTCCCTCTGAGGTAGCGGCATAAAATCTATATCAACTACAACTATAATAAAATATGTGGGTAGGCACTAGTGTAAAGGGAAACTAATCTCAACATAAAGAGGCTCATCTTTCACTGCCAAAGTTGATAATGGACTCTATCGTCCTCACTTTACTTAACCCACAGTCATTAAGAAAGTGCTTTAAATGAGGTGACTCATGGTTACTAATAAGGTGCACAACAGTCATTGCTAAGGTTCAATGATTCAGAAATTCTAAGGCACAACAAGCTCCCTAACATAATGTCCAAAGTAACATCATATGGCTCCCAAACTTATATATAGTTTGTCAAAAGCATGGCTAATGTATGCTCTAAACTTCGGTTTGCTTGATACACCTTGGATGATTAAACTACCATATTACAAAAGGGTCATCATCCATCCTCACACTCACAACATAATTATAGAACAGAATATTTAATACCACCATTGTCATAGAGCAAATGCCTTAAAATATAGAATTGTACATCTCTTTAATAGAGTAAGTTTTTTCAATAAGAAAAGGAAATTAACTATAAGCGCTTGCGTCTATATGAAGTCTTGATTCCCATATCTAAATATATCCTATTGCCCCATAAAGGAAAATTTATCCATACTGATTTGGCAACCCAAAAAACATATCAAGTTTCTAACTTGGAACATAACTAAGAGAACCTTTTTTTTTCAAGAGCCCACAAGGCATATTAGGAATTTTAGAATCATGATAGCTTTTATTATGAATTTCCTTAAAAAATGGGATTTCTTTGATGACCCCAAAGTTTGCATGATGGGATTTATTGTGACGCAGAAGAGGTATGAACCCAAGACCATCACAAAAAACTTCAAAGGGTGCTTGTTAACAAGACTAATTGGCATTCACTTAACAAATGAGATTGATGTGAAACGTATATGCGATGGAGGAGTTACTTTAGGAAATTAAAGAGATCAATTGGAACTTAATAATCCAAAATAAAATTATCATTTATAATAAAAGAGTGATCCTTTGAACTCTTAGTTTTTAACTCGTTTAGGCAACAAATAGTGACATCGATTAACCAAACAATTCAAGAAAACACCAAAATAATTGTAGGCTACGACAATAAACAATAATCCATGATTTAATAAAGAGAACTTTCACCTTTGGAGCCCATGCGCTCAACTAATCTAGGCTTCAGCGGAAGAAGCGTCGGAAAAACATAAAATAAAAATAAACTACTACTTAAAATAATGAAAATACAACTCATGCTCGTAACCATCGATCTCCGGCGTCGAAAATGCTGACGATGTCCTCATCAGAGATCTTAAAAGGCATAAAGTGGTTATGCAAATTAACTCTCTAAAAAACTAAGAGGTTAATCTAATGTTGTTATTCACCTCTCATGATTTTTCCAAAGTCTTTGATATAACTTGGACAATATTGGACATGGACCTAATTGGCATACAAATGTTGAGATCATTTACAATCTATTTAAGAGGCTAAAAAATAGTTATACAAAATCATATAAACCATAGATTTATGTCAATACGTAGGCATTACACTATCAGTGGTATACCTTTTATGAATTAGTTTAACATTATGCAAGCATCACACTACCAGTGACATACTTTTTAGGAATTTGTTCAACATTCAAATCATCATATCCTATAATATTCAAATCTAAGAAATAGATAATGGCTATGGCATGCTAAGGGAGTAGGGAGTTGAGTTCTTATAGGAGTAATGCTATCCTTCAAAAATTTATGTATTAATATTGCTATTCTCCAGGAGTGATACTCCATGAAATCAAAAGATTATTATATTTAGCACTCAATTTTATAATTCATGTATGGAGATTTTAAAAAGATGATAGACATCAAACTTTAATTTTCACTCAAATCATCAATGGATGATCAAGTTGAAGCTTTTTTTCCTTCTAAACTTTAATTTCCGCTCAAATGAGAATTGATAGGTGATGTTTTGAAATTAGATGATCATGCTCTTAATAATTAAATAAATGGGCATATAACAGTTCCACTAGTAAATCTACTAGCTTGAGCCTAGTTCAAATTGATAATGGTTATCATATTAGGAGTCCCATAGATTAAACTATATTTCAACTTTGCATATAGAAATGGGAATTTACATAGATGCACATGGTAGATTTTGAAAATAGTTGCTCTTTGAAATTTGATGCCAACATTTATCAAAAGCTAACAACTACTTATACCAAGTATATATTTATAATATATCTTCATAGAAGGTATTAAGAGTTTAGAGCAAGTTATGATGATGGTTTGTCTACACCTAATGAAATTCGTAGAATGAACTCCGAAAAGGTTGGGTAAAAGAAATGTAGCTTTGCACTGATTACTATGTTGACTTAGTGCCATTTCAAATGAGTTAGATCTTCCAAACCATGTTTGGTATTGGTCAAGTATTCAACGTGTATTGGTCAAGTATTCAACGTGGATAATTGTCCTTATATTAAGAGTTGTCAAAAAAACATTGTGGTATTTTCTTATTCTATAGGCTTCACATCATGGTACCATTGACACTTGGATCTTATTTCATACATAAGGAACAATAAAAACCCAAAGACATGTTTTTGATGGATAGAATTTTTTCTACATGGAAAGGATAATATTAAAGGAACCTTGTCTAGTGTAGGAGTATGACTTGCATTGACAACTTGTGGGTAGTAATGCATAGCATCAATGAATCCACTTATATATGCTTGAGCAGTAATAATGACATTCACCAAAATCATATTCTCAAAATCTAACAATGGTTGATATGGAGTTTAAGGCTTCATTTGGGACAGCTATTTTGTTGCTTCTTAAAGCAGCTTTTTAGTACAAAAAGAAAAAGTTTTGTACTAAAAAGTTGATTTGACAAGCAATAAAAAAGCCAATCCAAATGAAGCCTAAGTCTATTGTTGTTATAAAGAGCATAGATTGATTGTACCACATCATAATATTATATTTTAAAGGGTTTAATAAAAGGCAATATCATAGATATTTTAATTTACATTTGACATATTTTCTTAGGTTTAGATAAATGTGCCTAAATTTGAGTCACTAAGGATTTAATAATCAACAATTAGCAGTGCAACGAATTATGATCCATGGTAAGATAAATTTGATATTCATGTACCAATAAAAAGACATTCTTAGCGTCCACGACATGCATTCATTGTGTGGTATTTTAAGTATGAATGCTAGATTAGATACAAGCAATATTTGATACATTCTAACTAGTCAACGATTTGCACAACCCAATCATGTGGACCCTTAACCTAAAATTGTGATTATATAATCGAGTTATTTTTTTTTTCAAATCTTAGCCTTAGTATCTAATAAGTGACTATTTTCTCTTTTACAGTGCTATAATAGATATAGATAACTACATTCATGAATGTAATTCTTTTTTAGATGGATGTGAAGCACTAATCAAAATGTGAAACTTAAAAAAAAATGACAATAAGTATTATAAGTTCTAGTATATTAATATTTTTTCTCTTTAACAATGTAATAATTGATGTAAAAAAACTAATTTCATGAATCTAATTCTCTTTTAGATTGAATGAAGTCCTTATATAAAAAGCTTGAAAAAAAAGTCTATGGAAATAAGTGACGTCACTTCTAATAGATTGATATTTTCTTTACCTTTGATACTATCATCTTGTATTTTCAAACCTATTTGTTCACTTTTTTGTTCGTCAATTTATTTCACTTTTGGAAGAGCGATTGATGGTCATAAACATTACCACAAGGACATAATGAAGCAATGGCTTCAAAAACTTCTGAATGATTCTTTTGGCTACTATGCCGATAGGGGGCTAAGGTTCTTCTCTTCCGCTCATTAAATCTACTAGAGTTTCTTGGTTTTTTTCTATTACCTATGAAGTAATTTAATAGATGTTATGCTTATAGTTCCCAACGTTAGTATTCCAAATCCTAGATCTGTAGTTCGTATACATAAATATAAAAAGCCCAAAAAGAATTGTATCAACTATTAAAATTGTTTGCCGCATTCTTTGAGAGAATTTCAAGTTTACTTCATCTAGAGCAGATCTTGAAACATACTTCATCAAGTGCTTAAAAAGGTGATTTTATGGTTTGGGCAATCAGCTATATAAACTGCGCATAACATTAAAATTTATGAAAAAATATTGTATGGGCACTGGCATCAGTATACTTTAAACGACATATGTATACCTGAAAACCAGTAATTTTCTTATGACTTGACTTCTTTTTCTTGTTCTGTAAGTGAATTTGATGCTTCTGCAGCAGCTTATTATCTGTCAAAAATGAACAGAAAATATGAGGATAAGCAAATTACAACATACTTCGCAGTTTCAAAAGTTAGCTTTGACAGAAGCAATAGAGAAGGGAACAATTTCATGCAATTCAAGAGGTGAGAGAAGGGATGGGGGGTGTTATGGTGAGCAAAACAATCAAATCATCCATACCGGACGTATCATACAAGTGGCAATTGCCTTTATGTGAACCAACTAAGGCACCCTGCAGAAAGCAACACACATAAAAACAATTAGGAAATGCCTGGGAATAAAGATGATATAACATTAGGTCTATTGTAAATAGGAGATAAAATTTCTCAAAATTCAGAACAAGGTAATGAGAAAATCAGCTCAGCTGCAGAACCTGTCCATCAGGTGTATAGCAAGCAGCAGTAACCATCTCATGCAGATCAGTCCAATCAACAATTTGCCTATGTGGGATACTCCATAAGCGGACTTTTGCATCTAGAGAACCACTAATGAAGTATCTATCATCAACAGGATTGAACTGAATGCATGTCACTGCATTGGAATGTTGTAGTAACAATCAAAACAAAACAAAGCAAAAGGAAATAAAAATCATATGCAAAAGTATAATAGCATACCGTAGTCACTATGTGAGAATACTTTCAAGCAAGAGTGACTAGACAAGTGCCAAAGCCTGACCGTCTTGTCCATGGAAGAAGAGAGTAAATACTGCAGCGACACATTCAAATCAGAAATGACACTTATAAGGAATCTAGAGTGAAATTATTCTTCGTGATTCCAATTGAGAAGGCGTTAAGTCCTGTGAACTCTAACGATGATAAGGCCAAGATGTCAATGGCACACAAATAATTGAAATTCAATTTAACGATCCTCCATCTTCAATATTTGGAAACTAATGAAAAAAAAAATACATTTATTCATACAAAAACAAATCATCTCAATTTAACGAAGCAATCAATTTCAACTATCAAGCACACTCAATTAGGATGCTTTGGATAATTCATCTAAGCATGCAAATATGAAACGAACTGCAATCTAGTGAGTTTAAAGTGTATGTACTGCATGTTTTGATTTTATACCCATTTACTTTGCAGACTTTAGAATGCTGATGCAATATTTTTTGAACTAATTGTATGCAAACCATTCAGCGCGATTGCTCCAATTTCAACTCAATGAACCATGTTAACCTTAAGAAATTTCTTGTAAAGATTGCTTGTTTCCTATCTTAAAGTGCTACTTAAACACATATAACTGTTACATCCAGTAAAAACACACAACTTAGTCTTTAGTTTCAAAAGCCAAGGAAAGAGAAGGAAGATTTGTAAACTTTGATCAAGTTAAATATATTGCCTATAAAAATAAGATAATCTTAGTTTAAAACTGTCCTCCTATTCCCCATGGACCATTGTTACTTTATCATCCAACAAGACGTGAAAATAAGACGTTCAAACCTGAGAACGATTAAACCACCTGAAATGCTAATGACTAATAGAAAGCTTCAAAAGAATGTGATTTTCAATTTTCGGTGCTAGTTTTCCCACATAAAAACATTGCACAACTCCAAATACAAAGAAAACTAGTATATGATGAAAAAATAGAAGAACAAAAAAAAATCATGAATTACACTAATAGGAAATGCTTGTAGGAAACAAGAATTTCCCTTGCTGAAATTTAATTTCAGCACTTTGCAAATAAAAGATTGAGAAAACTTGGATGAATAAAACTAGAGAAGAACTTTTTGATTGACAAATAATAGAAGAGAAGCAACAAGATACAATGGATCCTCAATTGGAGAGGAGAATCCAGCTCTCCCAATCTCTAGACGCCGTTAGAGCCCAAAACAAACCTAAGACAATCTAATTTCAGTCAAAACTCATCATGCCCTAACCCTAGGGAAACAATCTACTTAAATCAAACAATCCAAACGGAAATCTCTAAACAGCCCCTCTTTTTAAATTTCCCTCCAAAACCCTTCTTTCACTTGGCTGCTGGACCCCACTGGGAGGAGGCAGACTTGTGCAACATATGGGGAGGAACTTTTGTTCCGCCTCTGATAGACAAAAGCTTGTCTCGTATGGACCGGCTGGATTGGTCTAACATACACTTTAGATGGATCTAAAATGATGCAATTAAGTTAGTTTTGAAGAAGATGAATAAATTTAAATTTTATGTCTAAAAAAGGAGTATTGAGATTTAGAGAGTTATTGAAAATATTGAAGTTTTTTGGTTAACAAATCTTTTACAAAGGAAATCCTAAGAAAAAAAAAACAAATAATTGAAAATAATATTTTGGTGCAGATCGTCAAGAATAAGAAGGTATTGAATTTTGATATTTATAGGAGAATTGAGCTTATGAGTCCTACAATGAAGTTTTCGGTAAGGGCTTTGGAACATAAAGAGTTGAAAATCACTTAAAGAATCAATTTTGTTGGGGAAGAAGTATATTAAGACAATTTTTGTATTCCATTTTCAGCATTCGTTGTCAAGAACTGATAAAGTTTTGAAATTAAGAAATATGCATGAGGCTTTTAGCTTGAGAAAGATGGAACCTTCTTGTGCAAAAGATACGATTTGGGGTTTAGAAGGGACAATATCAATAGCTAGTAACAGAAGTTTAAAAAAAAATAAGGCATGCAAAAACTTCACAAATTCTCAAAACTCATTAAAAAATTAGAAAAAAAAGCCTTTCGAAAGAACAAATTTTTTAAAAGCAAAACTTCTTTGTTTCCTAGTCAAACTATATTTTCCTTCAACAAAAAAAAAAAAACCCGTCTTCTTGTTCAATCTGTATTACTAAAAATAAAAGTCTTAGGCCTGAAAAGGATTTCATATACTTTAAAGAAAAAAGAGAAAATAGGATTTCATATCACTCTGAAAAGTCGGACAATCATTTTTCATAGTACTGGACATTCTCTACATAAAAATGATGAGCTAGACCCTATAACGATGTGTTTGATTGGATTCATTTGATGCTTTGTGAAGTATTCTAAAACCATTGCATTAGAGAAAAAAACTAATTGTTTGAGACACGAGCCACTTGATGCATACGATAGAAGAATTGACCATTTTTAACCTAAGAAGATGACTCAAACTCAACCCTAATTGAGATGAATAAAATATGGCATGAGATGCTGAGCACAAGTGTCAAAAAATACAGGTTTAACAAATATAGAAATGAGTTCAAATAAAATAATGTTTCAAGGTTTGTCACAAAATTAGTATGACTAAAAACCCAACCCCAAATCAACACTCTTCATAATATAATATATGTTACTAGCCATTGCTTCCACAATAGAAGATCTTAAAAATAAGTATCACTAGCTTAACTCACAAGAAGATTTAACAACTCGTATGAAAGGTTTTACATTACAAGGACAGAACAGTAAATCCAAAGGAAACTTTAACATGTTGCACCTAGGTGCCATGGATGGAACAGCAAAGCAAACCTAAGAAAGTTGGCTGGTTTGAATGCTTTAAGTATAGTAAATTTGGTCATAGATGTACGCTCAAAATTTTGGCATATGTAGTTCAAGTTCTCTGATTGGTTTTGAAATTAAAAGCAAAATGAAAAAAAATTGAAATTTCATGGATGCATTTTTACATATGCACTTAAAAATCACAAGTATAAGTTTCACTTTACTTATTCAAAATTTCCCTCTCCATCAACCCAAGTTTGAATAAAGTACAGATCAAAATAAAAAAAAAGCATAAATTTTCGTAGCATTATTTAGGTTTTAAGATCATAATTGGTCAGCAATTTCTATATCCTATGGATAAACTGAAACCTACCAGTGTGAAGGTTTAGTCGAACAAACTGATTGCCAACTCAGTTTGCAGCTCCTATTTTATTTGAATAAACCTACTCCAAGTTGTTTTTTCTACTACAAACAGCTATCACACCATTCATCATGTGGCACCACATGGCTTGTTGTACTTTGCAGGCGGTGATCATGAGGTAGCAATCAGTGTATATGAAAGGTCTGGTGGGAGAAAGGCTTCTCTATCTGTAGAGGGAGATGCGAGAACACAACTACTTACTGAAAATATGGTTGATCTGACCAGTAAAGACTGAGGGCACGTCAAAAACACTATTCCCAAACACGCAAGAAAAATCTGAGTTTAGTTTCTTTGAACATGTTAAATTTTGGGTCGTTTGTTTGCATGAGCTAAAGCCACTTCATCGCATTCAAGCACCGCCTTCTGCTCCAATAGTCCGTAAATGAAGAAATAAAGAACCCTTTAATTTCATGCAATAATAATTTCTTAACATTATGCACACTTAATAATAATTTTTTATGTAGTTTAATTTGCTTACATTTAGCAAAATTCTTATAAATTTCAAGCAAACGTCTAGCTTCCACTGCATAAAAGAATCAAAGATATTGCGTTATAATGAGGTAACTGATAACAAGTGCTAGAGAAGTAGCTGCAGCAATTCATTCCATTATTTTTCACAAACCTCATACCATCTCATACCATCTGGACATCAAAATCGTAAAACTGTTTAGCATACCTTCAGCGTCGCTTTTTATTTTTGGAAAAAAAAAGTTCAAGATGGTATGAACTATATATAAGGAGGTAACTGAACTGATTTCTTCCATCCAATATAACTATCCCCTATCATTTGACTTGCTTTCCAAGTCGTAAGTTGTATCAAGATTCGTGCTAGTCAAGAATCAATATGCTGTTTTTCTTTCAATACGTACTGGAAATGCACAAACAGAGACATTTTACAAGAGTGAAGTATAAAAATTACCTGAGATTTGGACCATGAGAGATCAAGTACATCATCAAGGTGACCAATGAAGGAGCAAATTGGCCTCTCCGAGAGAGCAAATACCTGCTCTGGCACCTTCAAATCCCTTGAGCTGAAAGACTTCGTCCCACCAAAATCCTTCGGCCTTCCCTTTTTCTCGCAAGAACTCCCCTCGGTGCATTGCCCTGGAAGTATAGCTGCTGGAGAAGTATTACTACTGGCCGCTGGAAGAGGATTTCCATTAAGATTGTCATCCCCTGTTCCATCCAACAACAAATCCGGCTTTCTCTCGTGTTCCAAGACCTGCCACGCATGGATGACACAGTCCTCTCCAGCACTAGCCAGGTAACGACCGTCCAAGCTGAATTTAATAGTCCAGATGGATCCATTATGAGCATGAATCTCCTGGCTCAAGTACAAACCAGTAAGCTCTTTATGTGACTTCCCGTACTGCCGGACCTTCATCCGCTTAGGGCCGTGCTGAAGCAACTGGGGCATGTCCTGACTATCATCGGTAGCCGAACTAGATCTCCTCCCTCCTTTTTCCGACGAGGTATCCTTCTCGTCGCTGCTGCGACGATCCCGCTGACTCCCTGTAGTCACAGCGTTCTTTAAACTCCTTAGCCAGCTTGACCGTCTCTTCGCACTCCCACCACCACTCAATCCAACGCCGTCCTTCGGCCGGCCGCCTGACCCGCCGTTACCTCTTCCTCCCTCCTCCACGTTCTGCCTCCGCATCAGCTCCTGAACGATGGGGGAACTGCCAACGCATACCTCGAATTCCTCCATTGTCAACTGCTTCCCCGTCCCCACTTCCTTAACCTTATTCCACATCCCGTCCTCTCGGAAATCCTTCAACACGAACTCCGTGCCGTTGTCCAGGTCCTTGATCGTGCACCTCTGCGCATCCTCTTTTTTGATAAATCCAGCAATGCCATTCCCGACAAAACCCTTAACGTCTCCCCAGACAGACGGCCGCGATCTCACGACAAGTGGCGGCTTGCCGGCGGCGGCCGGCAGCTGACTATTTACAACTCCATGTTCAACAGAGCCATCGGATCTGGAGCGGGAGATAACGCAGGCAGAAGAGGCAATACTATTCTCGTCTTGCCGAGGACAGAGGCCATTACACGACACGGATCGCCCCATCTCTCCCTCCCTAACATGACTTGTTCCGACATCGACTCCCTCACCGTCGGGCTTCACTCGCGCGAGCGAATGGTCACCGGTGAGGCCCATCTGATGAAGCAAGCGGCGACGCCGCTCCTCGACGGTGCCCGGCTCAGAAAGCCATAGGTCAAAGGATACGGCCTGCGGCAGGTGGAAGCGGGATCGGCGACGATGGTGCTGGTGGTGGCTATAGTCGCCGTCTTCATCAGATGAAGAGGTGGAAGAGCACGAAGACGAAAGGACCCGATCAAGAGACTCGTAGAACTGTTCTTCTTCCTCTTCAATCTCCACCCCGGCCGAATTACTCATTTTATACACAGCTCGACCTCCTCCACCGCCGAATTACTCATATTATAGCGGCATTCAGATCCCGGCGAAGAGATTTGCGGAGAAAGAAGGTTTGCAAGAATCAAGCGCGTAATCTAGAAAGTGGAGGAGGATCGAAGCCCTATGAAATAATAGGAAGTAGAGGATCGTCGTTGGAAGTAATGTTTGGTGGGGGAAAATAGATAGGTCCGCCGTCTATAAACTAGTTACACTTTCGGGGGCTTTTAATGTTCTAAAAGTTTCTACAGGCTACCACTCACCGGGTGATGCACCGCACCTCTGCTTCGGCTCCCTTTCTGAAACCGACAGCGTGAATGCGCAGCGTATCGTTACGTGGCTTAATGTGATTGGTTAGCAATCAGTTTCGGAGAAAGGAGAGGTGGGTGGATTTCGGCGTGTAAGTATCGGTGACGAGAGCCGTTTTTTGTGGAGCTGGCTGGTTGGACCTCGGGTCTACAAAAGTTGGGATCCGGCCCGCATCCGTTTCGGGATTTATTTCGGTAGCTCTTTATCTTCTTTTTAGCGCACAATTTTAGCGGTTAATGCATTAGATAAGATAAATTTGGACTTTTATTAGAGGGTTAAAATCTGACCCCATCCGAAATCAGACCCGAATCCGATACGCTAAAATTTGGGTTCGGGTCAACCCATTTGTCATATGAGACGGTTTCAGATTGGAGTTTTAACCCATTTCTAAAATCAGGTCGGGTTTGAGTTGACTAGCCAGCCCGAAAATTCGACCCGTTTGCCAAGTCCGAGTCTCCGTCCCCGCATGCCGCAGCCGTACGCATGCCTCGGCCAAACGGCCAATCATCCTTGACTCGCACTCACGCCCCATAGTTCGGCAATCCTGCACGCTGACAGCTAGCCTCGCCTTACTAGCATGCTAGCGGCTAACCTCGCCTCGCCAACCTCGCTCTAGTCGCAACTTGCGTTAGCCTTAGGGCATCTCCAACGAAGAACTCCATTTTTCATGGAAAATTACAACAAAACTCTAAAATGTCGTAGTACTGCTCCAATCGAACTCCATTTAAGTGCTTCTGCGAAGGTAACGATCCTTCTCCCTTTCGGGCGTTTTTCGGTTTTTTCCGGTTGAGAGAGCAAAATAGCGTAGATGAACAGTGCCACGTCAATATTGGTGTCGCACTATTCACCCGCAAGTAAATGACGGAAGATTTGGCGTTCAACTGGAGCGACCGAACGACTTCATACGCATGTTTGGAGTTTGGTTGGAGATGCTCTTATGCCTCACACATGTGGTCAAGTCGGAGTGTCGAACGCCCGAACCTACTGCGTGTCTGCGCCAGCCACGCGGCACTGCAACGACAACCATCGGTTTTGCATTTCATGAACGTCTCACGAATCGTGTCAGGTCAACCCAGGAACCAGCTCTGATCGGGTCTGTTGGAAAATCAGACCCATTTCCAAAACTGGATAGAGTTCGGGTTGACCTGTTTACGGTCGGGTGAAGTCGGGCTCTACCCGAACCCGACCCGTTGACCCGAATTGACACCCTTAACTTTTATATCTCATGTAATTGATCAAATATTTTAATTATATGTGCATATTGGTTTGCATAAGTTTGGATAAGAAATATATTTTAAATTTTAATTTAGATTAAATTTCTCTAATGCATTAGTCATATCATTGAAGTTGGAGCACTTCAAATTGGTTTGAATAAGTTTGGACTCATTATCGAAATGGATTTGGTCATGATTTGTTGATATTCTTGCGAGAGCTTCATTGCTAGCCAATTGTTGGGGAAGCGTTAACAAAACCTAGCAGAATAAGAGTTTGCAACCAACCTTGTGGAGGATGTCATCAATAGTGTTGTCTGCGTGTGAGGAGAAGGAGCGATTATTCTGTACGGAATCTGAACGTGTTTCAGTGATGTGGCACGCCAACCCTATTATGACCTGAGAAAAAATCCAATTAATAAATTTTCCTTAAATTTTTTATTTGTTGATATAATCTTCTTATTTTTTATAATTTAATCTAAAACTTATGGTTAACAAGTTCATAAACATATATTTAAATTAAAATTGGTTATCAATTCATATTCAGGTTGCTAGCGGATCGAGTTCATGTTCATCATTTTTACCTATTTATTAAAACAGGTTATCATTTCATATTCTTTTACTTTATGTATCTTAGTTTATTTTTTTGTAATCAAGAGTAAAGAGAGATAGACTAATGTGTAATGATTTGATCTCATAACTAAAGAAGAGGACGTTGAGGCAGAGCTCAGGTGAACTCATAACAACGAAGAAGACGATGAACAATAAGTATTTGATTTTCATTGATTTGAACTAAAGCCGATTACATGTATAAATAAGTGAACCGGTTATATGAGCTAAAGACTAAAATGCCCATGACCGTTACATAAAGTGTTCAGGCGGCAGTAAGAAGTGGAGGCGAGTTTGCTGTGGCTTGGCAGTGGCTATTGGACGGCTGCGGCAGTTTATCCACTCCGGTTAATGATTCTAGCTGCTTGGTTAATTTGGGTTCAATGTCCTTGTCAATAACTACTGTACATGAATTATTAGTCGCTCTGATAAAATAATTAAAAGATGAAATAGACAATTCTTCTAAAATTTGATCTTGGGGCATTATAAAGATGATCTTCCATTTAATTTTGGAAATTATCAATTCAAATATGCATTGAGATTCATACCCGATTAAGATGATTTTTAGCTACCTATCAAATTTTAAATCTATATATAATACTCGTTGAAATTTTGTTTTGAGATGAGTATTTTAATTCTTAAACTTTTTTATGTTTAAATTTGAATTAAACTTAGATTTATAAATATTTTATTTAAAAAATTGACAATTAAATCTTATATATCATCTATTTTACTTAATGACTAATTTACATATATCAACTTAAACTTTAATTAAAAATTAATATGATTTAACTTAAAATTATTTTTCCAACATTTGATAACTTTAATTCTAAATCAATATCTTCATGATGTAACTAATAATTTTGATACGTCACCAAAAAGTGCCTTGTTGAGCACGAATCTTGATGCATATTCAAGTTAGAAACTTCTAAAATTAAATTTGAGACCATCCGAACTCTAATTTTAGCAAACTTATAATCAAATTGAATGTTTTAGTGAGATGAATCCAATGAGACTAAAATCGGTTCAATCCGAGCCAAAATGGGTCCAAATCAAAGCGCCAAAGCATATTTGAAATATTCAAAGTATTAATTAGATGATCAAATAATATATAAATAAGACATGCTTATAATCAAATTGAGCGCTCGACGAGACAAATCCAACAATCCCAAGATATCTTAATTTTGGCATCACTAAGACACTTAAATATTAAATGAAAGTTTCATGATCGAGGGGATCAATACGAGTCGTATGATGAAGCACTCCAAATTTATCTTGGACCTTCTTTATATTTATGGAGCATGCCACTCAAAAATCTTTAAATAACCTCCTCTTCTCACATGAAGGGGAAATTTTTAAAAAGGTTTGAACTTTTGGAGGCTTAGATCTTGGGTTAGAGACTCAAGAGAAATCTGAGACTTGAAGCATCCCAAAGCTCCATCCCAAAACAATTGTCGGTGAACCCTTGCCACTAGGCGGTAGTTGCAGGAACTCTAATAGACCATCGTCATCATACCTCCATCTGCCAGTCATTGTCGGACTTGCATTGAATCTCCATCGTTTGTCAACTATGGTTCCTCTGACCACCATTGTCTATCGACTTTAGTCCCTCTAACCCCCATCACCCATCGACTACGGTCCCTCAGACCACCATCGCTCGCTGACTACAGTCCCTCCGATCACCATCGACTGCTGATTATAGTCCCTCAGACCTCCTTTCTCCTGTTGACTAGGGTCCCTCCGACCACAGATTACGATCCCTTTAACCGCCATCGCCTGTCGAATACTATCGTTACGACCACTATCACTCGTCAAATACCTACTATGAACTACAATCCCTCCAACCACCATCATATATACATTACTATCCTTCCAACCACCTTCATCTGCCGGCTACGGTCCCTCCGACCACCATCTCCCACCTACTACGACCCCTCTGACCTAGGTCACCCTCCAACTATTGTACATCTAACCTCCGTTGCCCACCAACTATGATCCCTCCGATCATTATTGCTTGTCGATTTTGGTTTGGTTGTCTCTTGCCAATTATGATCCCTACAACCTCTGTCGTATGTCGAAAATGAGCCCTATGACCTCCATCGCCTGCCTATTATAGCCCCTTTAACCTCCATTGCCCCTGAGACCATCATCACTCGCTGACTATGGTCCCTCAGACCACCTTTATTCGTCGACTATGGTTCCTCCAACCTCTGTCACCTTCCAACTATGATCCCTTTAACCTCTGTCGCCCCAAACTATGATCCCTTCAATTATTGTCGTCCACCAATTATGGTCCTTCCAACCTTCATTGCTTGTAAACTATGGTTCATCCGACTATCGTTGCTCACTGACAATGACCCCTTTGACCTCCGCCACCCACCGATTATAGCCCCTCTAACCTCCATCTCCCCCATATGACCATCGTTGCCCGCCGATTATGGTCCCTTCAACCACTGTTTCCTGCTGACTGCTGTCTCTCCAACCTTTGTCGCCCATTAACTACGGTCTCTCTGACCTACGTTGCTAGCAGACTACGATCCCTTCGACCTTCATCGTCCATCGACTACGGTCCCTTGACCCTTGTCACCCGCTGGCTATGATCTTTTTGGCCTTCATTTCTTGCCGACTACGATCCCTTCATCCTTTATCACCTACTGACTATGATCCCTTCGGCCACCGTCGCTCATTGACTTCTATCCTTTTGTCCATCGCCGCTTGCTGATGGTCCCTTTAACTACAGTTCCTTCGATCATAGTTGCCCGCCTACTACGATCCTGTGACCTCTGTCATCAGATACTAGTCCCCTCAACCTAAGTCATCCTACTACGATCCTTCCGACCTCCGTCGACCGACTACAATCCTACCGACCAAATGAACAAAACTACATTATTTTGAGAACAACCCACATATCACTATATTTTTTGAACCTTCACCATATAATGTGCTATATATGATATATATATTTGTTACATGAAGCCAAGGCCTTCCCTTGAGGAAGGACATCATTTATAATTCACTACAAACATTAGTAGATATATATATATATATATATATAAGAAATAATATAATATTATTAAAAATA